AGCTGGGCGTTTTAACCTGGGGACTCCTTGTACTCCCGCATTGCTCCTTCCTACAAAATATTCCCTTAAATCAATTTGCTGTGCTAAGTAGTGCACAGTGCCTCTTCTCAGGTGCAGGATTCCCTTCTATTTGGAATAACTGGGAGAAAGAAAGCAAAGGGATTTTAATTCATTTACCTCATTTGTCCCTGCCTTTTAATATTTTCTCATGGAAAAGAATATGAAATTATTGAGGATATGCTCGGTGATGTGCATTCTTTTTTATAAACAAATGCACTCTTGCTCTCTACTTTTACATTAGATGTAATATGAGCAAAACCATAATAAAATCCTGGTACATGAAATACTAAGACAATTATCATTGATGCAAGCTTTTGTGGATAAATGCAGAGGTTGAGTTGTTATGGGATTTAATAACATTTCTGAAAGCAAATGAAGTGAAAATTCACTTGTTCTTATATGTCATCAGTAACATGTGACACACTGTTAAATCTCTGCTATTTATATTTTGCCCATTTAAACAAAGCATCATTGGCTGACTTTGCTACAGTTTTACATTTGATGTGTGTCCTGTTTCTGGACGTGTGCCCTGCAGATGTGCTGGATTACAACTGCCATAACTCTCACCCAGCAAAAACAAAAGAAAACAAACCCCTCTCAACCCACATTACGGAAGGCCTATCAGATTATTGACAGCTCTTCAGAAGCAAAAAACTGCTGTGCATGGAGCTGGAAGGGCAAAAGTTGAAGAAACTCAGTGCAAAGGAAACCAGGAAAGATATACGTTTGTATCCTACAAGCTGCTTTCTTGAAAACTTCAATAGCTCCTACCTACTGTAATTTCTGTTGTTGTTGTCAGAGTCAATCTGGATTTAATCCCCACCCCCACCCTGTGTGACTCAGACTGTGTGGGATGCAAAGATTTCCTGCCGGTGAATCATATGCCCAGAAGAGCTTCATGCAAACTGCAAAAGTTCAGTGTTCCTGGTTCATCATCCTTCCTTCTCTTGTATCACCTCCTCTGCTTCCTTTGACAACTGGGGTCTACAGTTTCTGGATCTGGCTCATTCAGGGAAGGAAATTTGCATCAGTAACCAATACCTGCTTCCATCACTGGTTACCAGGACTTGGACCGCCAGAAGGTTGTGATCAGCTTTCTCTTCTTCTGGGGTAAGTCTGACCAAAGCCCATTCGGAAGAGGCAAAGTGGCCTCTGCCTCTCAAGTCAAGTTTGGGGATATTCTTGCACTTCTTTGGAGAGATGGATTCATCTACTGAATGGTTGTAATACTCTAGAAAAAATAAAGAACATGAAAACTTGCCTCATGTCAATTTAGTGAGATAACATAGTTTATTCAGGACACTTAACAATGTGGAAGAGTCAGCCATGGGTCTTTCTTCTGTTTGAACTTTTCATATGATCTGATGAGAATGTAGGTATTATGGTATGGGTGAGGTTGCAATGCACATCACACCATCGTGGCCACCATCTTAAGTTTTTTGACTGTACTCTGTGGATAGCACTGTAAACATTGGTCCCTACAGAAAAATGCCCCAGCGTTGCAATAATGATCTCTTACTAGGAAAAATTAGGTAGTAGTGTGACCAAAAAGGTTATGTCCTGAACTTGAAACAAAACATTACATTCCAGAGGGGATGATGACCTGACATTCTGAAGCAAAATCTGGAACAGTTTCGTTGTTTTCTGGCTTTAAACTAAAGCAAAGTGAAACAGTTTTGGATGATCCAGCCATAGGAAACAGTGGGATTCAGAACAAGCCTCTTTGACTGCAAAAATCTGAATGGCCACTAGAAGTCAGCAGAAAGATGCAGAAAACTCTACTACATCCTTTTCTTTCCTCTTCTTTTACTCTAGTTTGAGCTAAGCTTTGAACTTAGAGCAACGTTTAAGAAATCTAATGGAAAGGAATGCTAGGAGAGAGTCTGGCTCCATGTTTTTGATCTCATGAAAGACACCATCTTTTCAGTCAGTGACCTCCTCCAGAGCAGGCAACAACTAGCCAAACATTTAAATCCATTCTAGTCAATCCATTAAGGCGGTACTTTTAAAAAAAGCTTTTAAAATAAGCCTCCTCTTTTAAATCTGTACCTCTACACCTAAACATAACCTTGAAGACAGTCAGGAATATGTATATCTCCCCCCACTCTAGTATTAACATTTCCCTACAGATTTACTCCCCACCCTCCCCACCGCTATCTGTCTCAGAACAATAAGCGAAGTGACAACAGAAAAGAACTGCAGTTCTACCTGGCAGAATGAGCATTAGCAAAAGGAAGAAAGAGCTGCTGTCCATAGGAAACACAAAAAAATCCCTCTCTGCTTGGCTGCTGTCACTTACTTCCTACGCATAAATTAAACTACACTGACATCATTGGTACTCAGTCGCACACAGACCAGAAGAGTCGTCATGCACAGAGCCTTGCTCAGCAAAATAACTCTTGCGTTTGAAATGCTCCCAAAAAATCGCAGCAAATGAGTCAGACCAATTGGGTTCAGACATGGCTCTGCAGCAAAATGTCCCACAGACTGCATTAACAAGGCACAAGAACATGAACAGAGTGCACGCACACACGTGCATATGCATACACACATTCACTGAGCAGGCCAACCAGCCTAGAGACTTTCCTTGGCATGTGCATTCTGAAGTCTCCATCAACAAAAAGTCATAAGAAAATGCAGTGTACAGAGTGGATCAATAACGCCAAAGTCAACAACTCCAGATAAAGCCTTCAAACCAAAAAACACCTTCAACATCAAACTTTGGGGAGAAAAAAACAGCAACATTCATTTTTTTATATAATTGTTATTAAAAAATACATAATTATTATTAAAGATTACAATTGGAAAGATAAACTAATATAAACTAAAGAAAAAAGAAAAAAGAAAAAATAGAAGGCGCAGAAAGGAAAAAAATAGAAAAATAGAAAAGAAAGAAAAAATAAGAATATAGTAAAGAAAAAGAAAAGAAATATATAAAGAAATGAATAAACTAATATAAACTAAAGAAAAAAGAAAAAAGAAAAAATAGAAGGCGCAGAAAGGAAAAAAATAGAAAAATAGAAAAGAAAGAAAAAATAAGAATATAGTAAAGAAAAAGAAAAGAAATATATAAAGAAATGACCTCCCCCTTCATCACAACAAGTATAAAAAATTTTAGTAACCTATCACCTTCTCTTAAAATACAACAAATTATCTCTTCTTCCCATATTCCATCTCTTATCTATAAACAAATCCTTAAAGCCTCGTCATTTTAGTCCTGATGTCAGTAAAAGTCTATTAAGGGTTACAAGAGGTAACATATCTCTTTTAACTTTGATCAAATAAATCAACTTTATATTCCTTTTAACAATCTTGATCTTTAGTCCCTTCAAATAATGTCCCAGAACTTGATTTCTTTTCAT